TGACCTTCAGCTCCCCTCACTCTTCTAAGGATCTAACCTTACTGCCGAATCACTCAGTGCTGCCCAAGGTCCCGGAATACAAGCCCTCAATAAGTCCCCCGACCAAGAAAACCCTCCAGGGAGGGCCCTGTTTCCAATCCCTATTCAAGGACACTCGAAGGCGCCTCTTCCATAAATCCGGAGCCCCAAGTCGTCCCCTCAGGTCCCTCTCTGACGAAGAGCCACAGCGCCCACTCGAAGACGGTGGCCATCATTTACAACTCTGCCCACCCTTCTGAGGATTCTGCCCCAACGCCGTCCTGCCGGAGGCCCTCTTTCAAAAAAGCTGAAGAAGCTTCCTCCCAAGAAAGCCCTTCAGGGAACTGAGACCCAAAGTTCTCCTCTAAGACAGGACAAGATGCCCACTCTCCACAGCCCCCATCAAGTAGCAGAGCCCCTCCCACCTGGCCTCAGAGCCCTGCAGGGGATCCCTTTCTCTCCGCTGCCTCTCGCTGGCGCCCCCTCCTGGGCACCAAAACCCGCTGCGCCCCGCATTACCCCTGCGGGCCCACAAACCCAAACCCACCAGACCTCTCCCCGACGGCTCCGCGTTCCCACGGCGCCCCCTGGAGGCCCAGCTCCGGCCCCTGCAAAGCTACCAAGAAACCCGCGCCGGGCAGTAGGCCCGAGACTCCCGCGCGCAGACTCCTTCCCGTTCTGCCTGCCTTCTTGGGCCCCTGTGCTCTGGTTTCTCATTCCCGCCTCCTGATTTCTTGGGGCTGCTTTCTCACTCTAGCCTTGGCCCTTTGCATTCTCCGATCCCAGCAAGCCTGAGGGTTCCTATGGGGGTTAGGCCATCCCAGGAAGGAACCTTCCTCCCAACACACGTCCCCTGCAAGGGGCCTATACAACTTGCGGCACCGCGCAGTGACCGGAGGTGGGGGCATTAGGCAGCTTCATTTCCTACTGCTCACAGGTTGCTGAGAGTGCGAGACTAGGTGCATTGCCCTGTAAATTCTAGGGTTGGGGGACCTGACCTGAAAGTGAGCGTATGTCAGAGGAGTGGTGGCCTATTCGCTGGTCCAGAATGGAAAAGGACAGGGATCTGTGCTCTGTGTGGCCTTGGACTGCCATGTGCTCTCCCTGGGCCTCAGTCTCCCCACTTGTAACACGGGGTATTATTATTACAGAAAATCCCGACGGTGTTGTTGTAAGGATTGGATGACTAAGTATGAATGTTCATGCCTGATGTATGTTGAGTGAAGTCCTTGTGACTGTCAATATTGGTGATCACAAATGCTCATCCCGAGGCACCTGCTCCCATGCACGCAGCACACTCTGAAAGGGAAGAAGGGCATGGCATTGCGGCCACTCGTGCACAGATCCCCATACCTTTCTTCTAGGCAGAATCACACCCATTGTTATACCCTCATTCTCACACAAACCCCGACACTCTCACATGCATGGGGCCATTCCTACACATGGTCACAAACCACCTACCCGTATTCGCAAGTGGACACGCACTGATGTGCTACCAACCCCTTGACTTGCATCTCACACGGACACACAACACTCCCCCCCGGGGGGGGGTCCTTCCTCACCTCAAATCTCCTCTGAACCCACTTGTGCACACAGACCTGAGGCTTACACTCTCACTAACATGCGAGTTGTGTGTTCCCTCTTGAAGAAACCAACACACAGACACGCATATTCACACACAGCCTGCTGGCCTGCAGAGTGGCTCCTTGGTTGCTGGTGGACACCCACACAGGCATGAACACACATGAGCACACATACTTGGCGGATCTTTACATGCTCCCATACACGGTCTCCAGGACACACCACACAGACAATACATTCCCAGCCCAGGGCCACTCACACCATCCCTGCCAAGTGCACACAATGCACAGACAGCTGCAACAATCACAAGGCGCCCCATGCATGCCTCAAAGCCACAACTCACAGGGAGCACCGAGACATTGTTGCACCTGCACTCAAAGTTGTGCATGCACCCCCCCCCACACACACACATATACACACACGCGCACGTGCACACACGTTAGGCCCGTCTGGGAGACATTCTACTTTGCACACACACAGCCCTGCCAGGTACCCCCACCAGCCACTATTAAGCTGTCACCAGCCACCCCTCAGCTGCCTCCTGCTCACCCCACACTGCCTGTGCCCTCCTCCCCACACATGGCTGGGGGCCTCGAGGGCGGGGCGTGCAGACACATGGGGCACAGGACACACACATGTGCACACCATGTGGACGCTCGTAAAACAGTTGCCCTGGCAACAGCAACTTGAAAGACTTGGTTCTTCCTCTGGGAGTGGGGGGGTTGTGGGTGGGGCCAAGGTGGGGGCGGGGCGCAAGGCAGGAGGTGGGGATGCAAGGACACTGCCCACCTCCAACCATCACACTCAGGGACACACATGCTGACACAAACTCACACTTGGGGAAGACCTTGTGCACTCAGGAACACAGACCCGCTGCCTTGCTTGAGGCCAGCTCCACATGATCCCACCAGAATCACAGGTTCCTTTCATTTTGACACCTTCCTGAGTCAACTGCAACAGCACCCTCTCTGTCACAGACCTGCACGTTAAGTCACCCTGAGACGTGTAGAGACAGACACCCTGTCACACTTGCTGACCCACAGCACAGCCAGGAACTGAGATGTATACAGAACATACCTGTCCTCCAGCCCTGGCCAGGCCAGGTCCATCCCTGCTGGGAACTGCAGGGGCCAGGAAGGTCCCTCCATTAAGACCTGCACCCTCCAAAAAAAGTGTCTGGGCTTGGCTGCCCCAGAGGCCAGGGGATCAGGGGCTGGTTCTATTTGCAGGAAATGCGAGTATTTACAATGCTTTATTTTACAACCTTTTTGGTCTCAGACTTGGGCTGCTACGGAGGTGGGGGTGGGTGTGGGTGTAGCAGAGCCTTGAACCTCTGCTGCTTCCCGTGCAGCCTGTGGGTAGGATCTGTGGTCTACCCAGAACATGGATGTGGGAAGCTGAGAGGCTCAGAAAGGCCTAGGGGGGGAATGTGATCTCTTAGACCAGTGGTTCTCAACCTTCCTAATGAGAACCACTGTCATAGACTTATTTGAGCCTGCTAGTCCCATGGTCCCTGCCCAGGCAGGGCTGGGATGGTGCAGGGACAGCTGAATCCCAGGCCCTGACACCTGCCTGCCTCTGCTCCCTGGTGTGTTTGCCTGGAAATTAGTTCCACTTGTTCTCTGCCTCCTAAAGCACCTCCCCCAGGTAACTCCTGGTAACCCCATCCGTCAGCCTGCTCTGTGCCCACTTGGTTGTTATGAAACTCCAGCCCTGTTCTCCAGAGCTGGCCCCTGCCTTCCCTGGGAGGCTGCTGCTGCCAGGGGAAGTGTCCTGTTCCTGGGTGGAGCCTCAGGCAGAGGTTCTGGGAGGCCAACGGCTTCTGGCCAAGACTAGGACTTGGCTGGTGGAAAAGTTTCCATCTTAGTGCCAGTAGTTGGTTCAGGTCCAGTGGGTCTGGGGCTAATCCCCAGGACCCCCAGGGACCAGCCTTGTGGAGGTAGAGGCAGCTGGGAGCCCACTGTCTCCCCTGGCCGGAGCATTGGGCATCTCTGCACACTGAGCACTGCCCCACCCTCCGTGTGCCAGTGACTGGACTTAGTTTTCTCCATCTTCGAAGTGGCCCCCACATGATCACACCAGAACCACAGGTTCTGTGAATCACTACCCACTTCCAGCTGATTGGAGCCTTAGAGGTAGGTAGTATCATTTTCCTAGGGAGAAGTGAAAGGACCCTCCCAGGTCACTGAAACCACCAACAGGCTCCCCCAAACTAGGCATTGGGGCTACTGACTCCACAGTCACTCTCACCTCAAGCCAGGCCATGCTGAGTAAAGAGAGAGGTCTCAGCTCCGGCAAGGTACCCAGAGCTGGACATACACTCTTGACTTGGGTTAGGCTGGGCTGGAGTAAGGGCCCTGGGAGCTGGAAGAGGAGCTGGCCAGGCCAGACTGGGCCCACAAGGCCTGTGGGCGGCAGGAAGGGGCTGGTCTTCTCCAGGCAAAGATGGTAAAAACAGGGCCAGCAGTAGTCCCAACAGGGCCATTTACAGCGGCAGGTCACAAGTTAAAGGCCTTGTCCCTGGAGGCCTAGGGTCAGTAATGTGGGAAAACCATCAAGACAGGGAAGGCAGGGTGAGGGGGCAGAATTAACATTCTGTAGGCAGGGAGTTAGGCTGGGGTTGCATGGGCACCTGTAGGGTGGGGCAGGTGTGTCTTTCTGGGGACCCCCCAGAGGCACAAACACTCATGCACATACACGCAGAGTGACACACAGGTCACAGCCACAAATATATATGCACAGTTCCTCCCTCATTCACACACATAATGA